CGAAGGACACCACCCTCCACAAACCGCCGTAGGCAGGGGGGGAAAGCCGTAGACAGGGGGTAAAGAACCCAAAACACACCCCCACTGTGCCACAACTTGTGTCGACGGTGTGGGGAGCACTCTGGCACGGCACAATTTTCATTCGCCAGGATCGGCGAGTAAAGGTCACGCCGGACGGCACACGAAACTGAAACGAAACGAGTGCATCTGCCCACGAAAGGGGCCAAAATACAGTCGTTACTATTTATAGCAAACCGATGAACCTGGCCATTTTCTGCAGGAAGATGCACTCGTTTCGTTTTGCGTTACGGGTCCCGTGGGGCGACGCCCTAAGTGCAACCAAACACTATTAATTGCTTAAATGGCCCCTCCCCTCCAAGGATGACACGCAGAAATCGAGAAATGGTCCAAATTATATGAAATAAATAACCAAATTAAAAAAAAAAAAAAACCTCGAAATAGGAGCAATCACCATTTTCGACGTTTTTTGGAATCGAGGAGTCGAGCGAGAATCTTTATTTATTTAAGTCGATCGACTCGATGCGGGTTTCGATGGGGACTCCATTTGGAACTTCCGTTAACCCGCCTTATTACAGTATATAATCGGGTCTGGTCATCATAATAGCTGCTGCTGTATTTAAGACAACTTCCAGTCCAGATTCAGCAATAACGACCGTGCTTTTTCTATTCCGGTATAGATGTAGCACGATGAATCGATGATTATCACGAAAGAAAGGTGACATGCTAGCTCATCAGATCAACACAAATATACAGATTATTCGGCTTCGTTCTGTTCATTTCGATTTCGGAGAACAGCATCTTTTTTTTTTTTTTTTGGTTTAAGCATTATATGTTGGGGAGTAGAGGACGTGCTGATAAGAGCAGACACTCCCTCTACTCCCCTAGATGGATAGATGGCTCCGTTCCATTAGCGGGGAGCTGCACCTGCTGGAAACCGGGTCCAGCGTCCCTTTACATCATCAATAGTGAACAGATACCAGGATTGAAGCTGAAAAGTGGGCCCCCTCTATTCTAAATTCGATTCGATTCGTTTTTTGAAAAGATCATATCTCTTTCCCGCGCTTCCACTTGGATTTCCTACTTCGATTTGCTTTGCCATTGCTTTTCCTCGATTTGTTTCTTTTTTCCCGCTCAATCCCGGTTCAACGTGATTCCATAAAATTGGATTCGTTTGGATTTTTTCTTATTATAGATCGGATTCGATCCAATGCAGTGCGATGCGACTCGATTCGATACGACGAGCGCGAGCTCAAGAAACACCCGCGTTCTATTTCCGAGTCGGTGGAATGCGACATCAATTCGAAGGAATTTGATTCCGATTCGATTAAGCTAAAATTCGATTTCAATTGGATCTTAATTACATCCGCCGATCAATTCGAGAATTGATCCCTGATTTCTTTCCGATCACACCCGTTCGATTCGATTCAAAGAAATCTGCCAACGATCAACACCGTCCGTGTAATGTCTATGTACGTATACACGAATTTATGTAATATGCATTCATGTAGTTCCCCTACGAATGGACGAATTTATGTGACTATACACGAAATGGCCCTCCTCGCTCGACTACTCAACACTGGAAACGTGTCTCGACTGCTTAATTGGTATATATATACGTTCCGATTGCTCGAGCATTTCGAATGCAGTTGGACAGCTTTCGAGTCCAGGTACATGTAGAATGCTCTGCACTGGAGCAAGGCCCTAGAAACGTGTCTCGACTGCTTAATTAATACATACGTTCCGATTGATCGAACATTTCAAATGCAGCGGGACAGCTTCCAAGTCCAGGTACATGTAGAATGCAAACTGAATGCTAATTTCGGCGGCTACCATCGTGTTTCAAGAACTCCTACGATCCTCGTACCTATCATTTCGAAGACCTTACCCCACGAGGACAATCTTACTCGTTTCTGGACGTAATTCCTGTCAGATACATCGGTGTTGGACCAAAATTACGGTCAGATACGTTTGACATTATGCTAGTGTGTGTGCAAAGATAATAGGATCAAGCGCCCGAATCTGCATGTGTTTTGTGCTGAGATGCAGAAAAAAGCAGATCGATGGCGGTTTTCTGCACCTCTCCACAAACACCTCCAGATTCGCGCATCGAATCCAGTTCTCTGCGCGAGTGCGACCTCGGCAAAGGTACCACGATCGAATCCGAATCATCAGCAATACCAAAACTCAGAAAAACAACTCGATTGAATTTTGCCGTAACGTTTAAACAATAATAAGAAAAGCAAAAAGACTGGAATTAGAAGCAGGAAGGGCAATCAGCATGCACATCTCCACAAACACGCCCATGTTCGGGCTCCGAATCCAGTCATCTATGCGATTGCGACATCAGCCAAGGTATTACGAACAAGTCCGAATAAGCTGCAATACCATAAATAAACTATTTCGTGTTTCGATTTTTTTTTTTTTACCGTATATAAAAGGAAAAAGCAAACCGACTGGAAATTAGCAGGAGGACAATCAGCAAAGCAAGAAACAAATCCCGAAACGGCATGCATTCGCAAAAGCATTCACAGAAAAAATAGCACTGAAGACAACGCACATCGATTCCGAATGCTTACATAAACTAATTGACGAGTGCCACTTCTCTCAAGGTTCTGTTCTGGTTTCCAGTATACAAGGCTCCTTGCCATCCGATCTGAAGATAATCTCACGGCCCTAGTGTGACCACGTTGGAAAATACACGAACCAGACCCTAAACCCCCGCCAGTCGGTCACGGCCCCCACGGCCCCCCAGACTTACCTTGGTCACAGTGGACTCGCCAGAAGGCCGTCCTCGGCAGATGCGCTTCTCCTCATTTTCCCCGGGGGGGTATTCCCAGGGCCATGTCCCACTTCTCGAGGTTCTCTTCTCGCTTCTAGTGTACATGGCTCCTTGCCATCCGATCTGAAAATCTCATGGCCCTAGTGGGACCACGCTAGAAAATACACGAAACATAAACTGAACCCCTGCTGTGCTAGTGGGTCACGACCCCGGGTCTGCTTTTCAACAGTTGAGGAGTTTACCGACTGAGCTAAGCAAGTCAGTAGAGCAACTTACAACCCACAAACCTAACAGCACGTTTGCCAGATATGGTCGAAATGTCCCAGCCCACAACGGACACCGCAGTGGCACAGTCTGGCTCATTTGACAGAAAACAAATAGGAAAAAAAGAATTGTCCTAATGGGATTGCATACTAATCTGATTCCAGAAAGTGGATATCGTTACGTTTAGAATACAAGATAACAGTCAGGGATAAAATCAAAATAGAGAACAAATTCACAAAACCATAAATACTGTTCACCACCCTCGTTTCCCCATACATTCTCTATTACAAAAAAAAAAAGATCAAAGCAAAGGATAGAACACCATTATAGAAACACATTATTATTACACTCCCATTTCCGTTAAAAACAGGACAAAACACATATTGAACTCGTTAATGCAATCATGTCGTCGTTTCCACCAAAGTCCAACAACAGGACAATCATTGTGTTTACATTTCAATCAATCCTGCAAATTATCGCCCCTTCGCAACCGCAAAAGCCACCTTATACCCTTTGTAATCGGGTAAAGTCTCATGCCTACGCTTGGCACGTGCTGCCCCCCACTAGTAGACTGGATCCCACTTTGTCGCCCCCCCATCCCCACAAAAAAAAAAGGCAAAGCTTCCACTTGCAGCACAGTTGGTCATGTCGGAACATAAAAGATCATCATCCTGTTCAGATCGTAAGTCCATCCATAATGTGAAAAGCCACTTAGCAAATGATAGTCCTTTCGGAAATCTAAAAAGAACTCCGACCGACTGGACTGCCGCCTTCACTCGAATAGAGCGGCCCGGTCATTATAACTGTATCTGGACTAGAAATTGCCCCAAATACGGCTATAATGTTCGCGCGTCGTATTCGGGTGAAGAAGGTAGAGCTCAGTTGGTACACCAATCAACTGTTCAAACACAGACCTCAGTTCGACTTCCGATGCAACAAGACAAGTACCTCTGAATTTGCATGGAGCCGATCAGCTCAAAGACGAGATCTCAAACCCGTCGTCCCTTACAACATTAAATTTTACAAACAAAGAAGGAAAAACAAAGACCAACTGCGAGAGAGTCTTTGCGCCCACAAACCGAATCAATATCTATCCGATCCAAAGAGAAACATGCGAACACATCGATTTTTTTAAACTTATTTTTCTAATATTCAACAGCTTTATTGATCGCTGCAACCAACCGATTTTAAAGGCTCAAGTCATTTTCTCTGAGAATAACACAACACGAAGGTGTTGAAATCACCCAACCAATTAATCACGTAACCCATCATCCACTGATGGAAAACAACACGCGTATATTGGCAGTTAATTTTCGCGGGCCAATAACTGATAAACCGACTAATCAGCAATCAGCTGACAAATCAATCCACTAACCCATCATCATTCAACAAATGGATACGTGTTAACCAAGCGTTTCAGTCCACCATTGCATTCATCGATCAATCGATAATTCGATCAACGAATGTGATCAATCAGTCGATCAATCACTTCGATCAATCCATATATCAACCAATCACCAACCTCCTCAACCCCAATCATTGCAGTCCCCCACTCAATTCAGCAATCGGTCACTAAACCGATCAATCACTCGATCGATAAGCACGATCAATCAGTCAACGATCAATCACTCAATCAATCAATCCGATCAATCCTTGAATCAACCAATCCGATCAAGCAGTCGGATACATAAATCGATCAAGCAATCGGATAAAGAAATCGATCAAGCAACCTGATGGATCTCTGCAAGATCAAAGCGAGCCCTGCCTGTACCGTTAAGATGACCCGGAAACACATCCAGCCCAACTTCATCCCACTAAATCCCCGAGACCCTTCGGTAGAAATGATGCCTCCTATCTTTCCCCTCCAGTGAGAAATCTCCGCTTGAGACACTGCGCAGAGATATATTCCACCGACCCGAACAACAGAAAAACATTTGCGTTATAATAGCCTTTATTTACTCAAATAAAAAAATTTGACCCAACTCCACAGAAATGTTGCCGATCATCTGACCGCTTATTAAATACGAGATTAACGAACACCTACTTCATTTTTCGCTTTAACAGATGCAAAGGGCCTTATGGATAGCGTTTCGCGCTTCGTCAGCCCTCAACGACTCTACTCTGCAGTACCAATTTTCGTTATCACAGATCTAAAGGCGCTTTTAATCCACCTGGACCGCCAATCGCGGGCGCACACGAATAAATGCCACGACCTCTCTCTCTCTCTCTCTCTCTCTCTCTCTCTCTCTCTCTCTCTCTCTCTCTCTCTCTCTCTCTCTCAAACACACACACACTGTAACTGGCCTCAGTGGAGGAGAGCTATAGCAACAAAAGCGAACGCCAACTGCATCAGAATCGGAATTGCCGCAGCCGGAGTCGAGCTGTGTGACGACGGCGCAGTCTTGTCGGTGGATTTACCAGTTGGAGTAGGAGTGGGGGTCTTAGTCGTCACTGATGACGACGACGATACTGCCTGGAGCGCTCTCCTCTCCTCTCCAAGGCACTTGTCGACGTAATCAAGTGCGATCATGGGGTATCCGTTCATTGCGATCTTGTTAAGCAATTGCACCCCGCATTCCTGGTTAAACCTCGAGTTGTCCAGCACTTCCGCCATCAGTGCATCGATCTTGCTGCAGCACTCTCCTCCCCTTCCCAAGTTCGAAGCCATCGCGTCGCACGGACCCTTCAGGGAATCCAAGTTCACATTCGCCAAATTGCACACGTCGGTATCATCTTCACTGCGAGACGCGGCCACTACACTCATCAGCCCGAAGAACGCCAAGGCGACCAGAGCTCCCTTCATCGAGCGCGCCATTTTCCACCCTGCGAACAACAACAACGACCGCGGTTCTTCTTAAGGAAGGACGGGCGATGGCGCGCAAGTACGGAGTTGATCGCCGGCAGAGGAGGGCGCGCAAATGCAAATGTCGATTGCTAGAGAATGAGAGGTAAAGTGACAGCCAGCAAAGAACCGTGTTGGAGATCTTCCCGAAGAGAGCAATATAATAGCACCGTGGCGAACTCTTCGCCGCCATGAAGTACTCGCACCGGGGCCGTGGTGACTTTTGGCCCGCTCTCGACGAATTTGACCGTAGTTCCACCCGCACGTGTATGCATCTGCCCGCAATCGGACCCAGAAGCTCAGTCGGGAAAGTCCCCCTGCGATGATGCCAACCCATCTTCCCGCCTGAACTGAACCGCCGGAAGAGGGCGGTCTTTTCTTTTCTTTTTTTTCTTTTTTTTTTCCTCTTTCTCCTCCTTTTCCTTTCTTTTTTTTTTTTTTTTTTTTTCCAAAAAGAAGACAACTACTTATTTCCAATGAATGAATACGAGGCCGGGGACCTCACAATTCAACCCGGGGTTATCCCGGCAGCATCAGCCGGTTTAGCTTAGCTCAGTCTGACATACCCAGTCATAACCGCAAACCAATACCAAACCCAGCCAGAGAGAGGGTAAAAGGAACACGATACCCTACTCCCACCTACACTAAACCTCCCTCACTATACAAAGATCTAATAACGATCTGGCTCCCAACCTATCTCGGTCGGGGGGAACTTTGTCCCTTTGGGAAAACCTGGCACTCTCCTACCCCCCCCCCCCTGCGGCCTACTGTGACCGCCAACTGGAACCGAGTGCACCTGGTTCCTTCTACAAACCTAGCCTATAGTCCAACCCAGCCTACCCTCTATCGATCCAACGTCCCAACACCAACCTCCCTTCCGGGGAGATGTGGGCCAAACCCAAGCCCCACGTACCACGGAACCATGATTCCCTCCTGGCGTGATCCTGCTGACCACGTCTCCTTGCCCAGTCCGCTCTTATAGCTGTAGCCAGGAGATTCTTGAACAATTCCTCGGCCTGCTCCTCAGGTAGTCCTTCACCTTTGAATTTGAGATTGTTCCTGTCTGCCCAGATAACCCAAAACATAATCGCCCTACCAACCTGAGCGATGTACCCCCATCGTTCGGTACTGCTGGTATTCTCCGGTAGACAACCTGTTAGGACCCACCTCTCTCCCGTCAAATCCAACCTTTCTGCGAATCTGTTCCAGTGGTACACCCACCATTTCCACCATTTGCGCGACCTTGGGCATTCCCACCAGAGATGTTGCATAGTCTCTGGCCCCTCCTTACACCGGTCACAGGTTGTATTCACATACATCCCCTTGTCGGCCAACCACTGAGAGGTAGGAACCGCTAGATGTGACTGAAGCCACAGAAGGGAAGCCAGCTTCTGCGAAGGCAAGGCTTGCAGCTGTGACCACAATCTGGAAAGTTCAGAATGTGAAGGTGGCCGCAAGTGGGGAACTTGCTGCGACCAACGTCTACCTGTCCTTGAACTAACCGATTCTGCGCCTGAATGCATTTTGGAGATCAGATTAGCATCCAATTTATCCATGCCCATTACCACTAAATCACCTAAGCTCCAACCCCAGACCTCCGGATCAATCTTCAACTTGTCCACGCTTACCCCATTTCCCACCAGAACAGGGATCAGCGGAAAGCCTTCCTCTTTCGGAGGTCTTAGTTGGACCCGGATTTCTTTTAGCCCACCCAGACCATATTGAATCCGCATCCCACTTCTCTCCAGCGTGGGGAGGTTAGGAAGCACCCGCTTATATGTCTCCAGCCAACACTTGCCAGATCTGTCTTCCGTCCAGCTTTCCAATCCGCAGTAGCGCTCTGCCTCATCTGTATCCCCAACGTACCACGTACCTGGCGGGTCAATACCCTCAGGTCCCAGGATCTGTCTCCATTCGGCCGGGATGGCCTGAATCAGTTGAGTGAAATGAGCCTCCTGATCTGGCAATTGACCCAGCAGTTCTTTTAACTGGTCTGAGGAGATCCAACGATTGGTGTTGGCCACCCACAGGTCACCGATCAGGCAGACCCCTTTCTGCATCTAGCTCAGTCCGAAACACCCAGGTTTCCTTTCGAGAGAAAACCACTCCCCATCTGGGCTTCTGATCTGGTCATTCTCGAATAGGTGCTGGCGCTTGACCTCAGCCTTGTTCTTCGGAGCCCAATTCAAGGTGGGTCTGCATTTCCTCCACGCTTGGAGAACCTCATTCCACAAACGAGACTTAGGACGCTTACGTGCGTACGTATCGGTCATCAATGTCAACCAAACGTCTGATGGTCTCCTAAAACCCCATTCCTTCGCCAGCAGGGACTCAGCCAACAACACCCAATCGGTATCTACCTCAGCTTCAGCCACCCACACCATCCATCTAGCCAACAGAGCTGTGTTCTGAGCGCCCGGGTCAACCAAGGCAAGTCCACCCTCACTGCGAGGTCTACATAGAGTATCTCAGGCCACCTTGCTGATGTATCCCTTCTCTGCATCTCCTCCGGGTTTCCAAATAAACCTCCGCGCAGTTCCTTTCACCACTTTCAACATTGGAGTCGAAAACTTCCGAACCGTCGCCACATACCATAGGAGGGCGAAAGCAGAGGCCATGATTGCCAAGACTCTCCCAATAAGCGACAAATGGAACGCAGGCCCCCAACTCTTAATTCTTTTTCACATTTTCTCTTGCAGAATTGTCTCTTGTACTGCCGAGCAGTCCCCCAACGCTACTTGTACCCCAAGGAAGCGTTCCGCTTGGTCGGCCTGAACCCGCACCATACCCCACTGAACCACCAATGGAAACGATCTGGGTAAAAGGAAGGTTGGTTTTCTCCAATTTACCGCAGCTTCAGACAGTCTTGCAAACTCCGTCAGGCAATTTTTCAATGCTTCCAAGGAATGGATCTGATTTGTCAAGAGCACAAAAAGGTCGTCCACCAGGGCGTTGACCCTGCTCTCTCCTCCGCCACTCAATCGGAGACCTTCAATCTGCGGGTGCTTGCGAATATTACACAAGAGCGGTTCCAAATAAAGCACAAAAAGAAGCGGTGCCAAGGGGCACACTTGCCGCAGCGACCTTGTGAGTGGAGTGAAGATTTTGCTGTTAACATTTACTGCAGTGGATGCGTGACCATACATCACTTTGACCCACCTGCAGAACGACTCGCCAAAGCCAAGGACACGCAGTGTGGTAATCACAAATGTCCAGTTGACCCTGTCGTAGACCTTCTCAAGGTCCAACAGCAGCACAACCACGTTCTTGTTCTCTTTGTCGATGAGCTCGAGTGCCTCGATCGCAGTATCTACATTCTCGAAGATCGACCTGCCCCGTACGAAAGCTCCCTCGTCTTGTGCCACCAAACCAGGTAGGTCGTTCCCAAGCCTGGTTGCCAATAGCTTTGCCAGCAACTTGTATACGACGTTGAGCAAGGATATAGGCCTCCAGTTCCTGATATCGCTCCTGTCGCCTTTCTTGAACAGTAGAGAGATAATACCTCTCGTCATAGTTGTTCCAAGCTTTTCTTTTTTTTTCCCCTCTCTTTTCTCTCTTTCTTTTGTTTTTTGTTTTTTTGTTTTTTTAATTTAGACCATTTCTCGATTTAGGGCATACTCACACAGCGACCCCAAATCCGCAAAATATGCGGATTATGCGGATTTGGGAAGGGCCGATTTGAGGTTTTGGGCATCGTTCACGTCACATTGTTGTACCTTTTCAGATAGGACAAGGTCGCGACGATTGGTGGATGGCGCTGTATGACCAGCCAAGTATTAAATCCCCCTTTCTCCAGAGTCCAGACGGTCACATGCATCCCCTCTGACCATCGGGACTCTAGAAAAAGGGGGATTTGGTACTTGGCTGGTCACACAGCGCCATCCACCATTTGTGAACGAATTTTTGCGAATTTTTGAAGAAAATGCAAAAATAAAAAACGGCGTTTGCGGTCAAATGGGCACAGCAATAGTACATTTGTGAATTTGGTAGATCCCTGTGACCGGCCTTTTCCCCTTTTTTTTGGGATTTTGGGATTATAGGTCCCCGTGTGAGTATGCCCCATGAGTATCATCCTTGCGCAGGGGCCATGCTAATCTTTCCTTCCTTTGTTTTCAGAGGGCGGAGGGGAGGTCCATGGCCTGCTGCCGGATTCGGGTCGAAGTTTTGGTGAGGGGCGGTGGATGAAGAAGATGGAGAGCGGGAGTGTATGGAGAGGGGTGCGCATACCGAAATGTTCACAACGGGCCATTAAACAAGAGGGAAGGGCACACGGCTGGCGTTGATGCCGACAAACATCTTGGAGGTGAGCCATCCAATATGCGGACGACTTTTTTTTTCAGTTTTTCCCAGTTGGCCATCGTTTTGTGTCCCCCTTCTCCGTTTTTCATTTCCCGCGCCTGTTGTTTTGTGCACCCTTTTTTTTTTGTATTTTTTTCTTTTCCTCCTTTTTTTTTTTCATTTCTCCCGCCGCTGTCGTTTTGTGCCCCGCGGTACTCCGTCGCGCTTGTACAACGTCTCTAATCTAATTAAATTATATTAGAATAGAATGTCGGTCGACCGTATATTTGAACGCAGAACAGCTCCCAAGGTTGGATTCGAACCAACGACCCCATAGATAGGGTAAGCAGTGTGTGTAATCTGACTACGCTTCCCTCCGACCCGTGCGTGCAAGATTTCCAAGCACACGGCTCTCCATCAGTTTGGCAAGACTACTGATTGTTTCCCTTCCATTTTCATGGACTACGGAAACTCACAAACATCTTGCAGGCGAACCATCCGGAATGTAGTTTGAGGTCACCCACTGCATTTGTTATTTCCAAAGACGTAGCCTGCGTCGCCTGCATCGTGGAGCTCGTTTGTTATTAAGATGAAGTTGAACCGAGGTTGTAGGTACTTTGTTCCAGTCGGAGTTGAGGTCCCTGGGACACTTCTTCCACATGGTATCCTTAGCTCAATCCTGTGACGGCAGAGCGTCTCTGTCGTCTGCTAACTATCATATGGGTTCGCTATCACAGATACTACTACCACTAATGTTGTTAATACTAAGAGAAGAAAAGGAGAGGAGAGATTGTCCTATAATTAAATATGGTGTCCTAAACTTGACTTATTGGCAGTGGGGGCAGGGGGGAGGTGGGGTAGATGAGAGGGGGGAAGGAGTGTGGAAGGTTGAGAGGGGGAGGGTGAAATATCGTTCTAGTATACAGGCCTAACGAGGAGGCGGTCTGACCCTCACCTAATTCGATCGAGAGGAACTCATGTGTTCCTTATCTAAGTAATGGACACTCTCCTACCTACCCTACCCGGTGCAGCCTGCTGTAGCCGCCGACTGGAACCAAGTGCCCTGGTTTGTGGGGATCCGGCAAAGTGACTGTTGGTTGGAGGTGGGAGGGGGTTAAGTCAGGAGGGTGGGTGGGTTTTGGGCTGTGGAAAGGGTTCACTGGGGCCAGGACCCATTATCGCCGTATTAAATCATGGGATACTGGCGTGTAACACCCTTTTGGGATTTGAAAAATAGTTTCTGTATATTTTTTTAGATTTGAAAAACTCACATTTTTTCGTGTTTTTTTTTTTAACACATGCCTGAGGAGGAGCTAGTGGTGCTGATAGGAGCAGACACCACTAACTCACCTGTGCAGACTCCATCTATTCATGGGGAGTTGCACCTGCTGGAAAACAGGTCATTTGTCTCTTACAATTGAAACTTGATAAATATTGTAATGAAGAATAATAAGAGAAGCACTTCCTCTTCACCATTTCCTTAGGGCGTCAGAAAAGCCTATCAGTCCTAGCTGTGATTCCCTTACAAGGTATTCGTCTGAGAAAGATGTCTCTAAATTCCATACCAAGAACTGGGAACAAGGTTTGTTGAAGGAGGGTGAAAAGGATTAGGGAATTCCAACAACGGGCACATGAACACCAAAGCATGTATAGTAATCCAATCCCCGAATTCCAATCTATAATCCCTTCTAAACTCATCTTCATCACCTTCCATTACCCCATCCCATTTGACTTTTCCCAACCTCTCTCCCAGTTTTCCGCCCAGCCAGCTGCGACTGAATTTTTGAATAAATATTTGAACTTAAGATTTTGTGGAAAGGAATTGAACTTTTTCCTTGCGTTGTGCTCATTTGTTTAGGATGACTCTTTGGATTTGTTCCTTAGTAGTATGAGTGAAATGTGGACCATATAGTTTGTCCCCTTCCCACTCATATGTGCATCTCCTCGACAAGATAGTCCACATTACTGCTCTTGTTCCAGTACGAAAAGTAAACAGAAAAATTCCCACGAGAAATGAGAGTTAAAAAAAAAATCATTAAAAAAACAAAATTCATATTTATACATTACGATTCTTATACTCGTCCAATTCTAAAATTTTTAATTTTATTTGATATGTTCTGTCTAAACATGAGTTTTCCCTTTCAGCTACATGTATTTTTTGTTCAAGATGGAATGAAAATCTGGACGAGTTTATGAAATATTTTAATTAATTTTTCATTCTACTAAAACAAATATCTTCTTATTTAGATTGGATTAACCTATTTATGACTGAAAATTCTTACTTAGAATGATAATCCAATTGAAATATTTCATGAACTCATTCAGACTTTCATTTCATCTCTAGCATGTAATTCAAATAAGAAGGGTTACCCCATTTAAAGTCATTCTTGGAAGAAAAGTTTTCAAGTGAGACGAAAAATTTTAAAATTGGAATGAATTTTTTTAAGATAGAATGAAAATTTAAAATTTAGAACGTAATTTTACTATAGAATGATTATTTAATTCTGATTTTTTTTTTTTTGATATTATTAATGAAATCTTTCATGATTTCCTTGAGTCTAACTATAGATTTCATGTATAATACTGAATTCGTGAAAACCTAACAAAACCACAAAACCTAACATTTTTTATAGAATGAAAAAGTGAAAGTCGAACTCTTATTTTTGACACATAAAAGAGAGCGTTTTTAATTGTTTCCCGAGAAAGGAGGTAAAAAGATTGACAAAAAGTCTAGTGATTCTCAAAATGTGCAAGAAACTATTTTCCAATAAAAAAACATGTTATAAAACTATAAGTCGTTTTCAGTAGATTGAAAAAAAAACATAGCTCAAACAAGACAATCTTTAAGGACTGCAAGACGAACTCGAAAGACGTTAAAAAAAACAGTTTCAGTGAATACTCATTTATCAAACTATAAGTCGTTTTCAGCAGTTTAGTGAAAACC